GTTATTATTTTTTGTATATTTACATTTCATTAATTGTTTATTCAGTATTTTCTTTAAAAAAAATTATCACATCTTATTTTTGATAATTTACACAAGTGTCTCTGTTTGTCTAAAATCACGTAATGTTATATTGCAATTCACACATTCAGTGTATTAGAACATTTGTAACACAAACACTAAAATATTCATTGTATTTTTCTATGAAACACATTAAGTATTTGTTCTTTTCCTTCTGTTAATAATAATATACAATTGTAAAGGTATTTATTTATTAAATAATAAATAAAGTATAGTCATTTTATTTTATTGATGTGTAGAAACATATTTTGTTACTTCAAGATTCCTTGATCAATGCAAAATAATAAGCTGCAAAAGCTACAAATTGTATAAACATGTATTAATAATCAAAAGAAAGAAGTGTCATAATTTTATCTATAAAGCATGTATACAACAACATTTTGTGACATATCAATTTGCAATCTATCAGATAACAAAATAATCTGCAAATCATCACATTATATACATTATCACACACAGATATGTATAAAGATATTAAGTGATTATGGATAAGAATTCTTTAATAACTATCTAAACAAAAGTGTTTTATCGTTTTGCATTAAAGTATTACTGTTTCTGCATGCATACTTGCTTATCTTTATATTGTTTCAGATAATGTTTAATTTTCGTAAATTTAAGAATGCTAATTATGCACAGTGCATACAGTAAAATAAATGACAATACCAAAAAAGCAATAAAGTTTTTAAAAGAGTTTAGTCTACTCCCTTCTTATTTATTTTTGTATAGGTATTGTAATTCACTCTTGCACAATATTATGGTTTTGAGCTTATTTTATATAATTTTGGTTTTTCCTTACAAAGTATTATATAAAGAGTAAGTTTCTTGATATTGAAATTACATACTGCTGACAATTTTAAGGTAATCATTAATTCTCAATCCTTCTTTATGTTATGAAAGTATAGTGAATAAAATTTAAAACAGTTATTTGAAATTCTTACATGTATTGCTTATTTTGATATTGAATTATTACATGTATAAACATAATGAATTCTTTATCTGAAAAAAATCATTAACAAAAATTTGGTAGAATTGAAGTTATTATACAATGCACATTTACTTAATAATTAATTAGAACAATTTTACTTCTTCTTTGTTTTAGATATGATCTGAAGCCAGTACGTCTTGGTAGCAAGGCAATTGATACATTGGCCTTCTCCTTCAATCTGCAAAAACCATTTTATGTCGTAGTGATTGACGCGGGGTCTACTGGCAGCCGTGCTTTAGCTTTCAGTTTTCATGAATCAATTTTGGGAGGTAATTTGGTTTTGGATGATGAACTGTACACTGAAACGAAACCAGGTCTTAGTGCATATGCGGATAAGCCTAAGGATGCTGCAAAATCTCTGACAGTATTACTAGATAAGGTCAAGGAAGTTATTCCACATTCAGAATGGCAACGCACACCTCTCAGTATGAGAGCCACTGCTGGTTTGAGGCTTCTTCCTGGACACAAAGCTCAAGAAATACTCCAAGAATGCAGGAAAATGTTCGAAGAAAGTGGTTTTCAGGTATGTATTTATTATGTTCACAAAACTAATAATGTGATAAAATTCTTATTTTAGAATCTAGGTTTAGCTTTTCTAGACTTTGTCTTATACTTAAACAACTATCTGCTTTGTATTTAAAACTTTTTAGGGGTTCCAGCATGTCTTTGTTTGCTTTAACTTTATCACTATTATATTTTTGTTCAGTTTATGCAGCATAAATCTCTACAGTTGTGTAAATTTTATTT